ATAATTAAGTTTCTGCATTGTTTCAGGTTATAAATCACTGCTGTACTTTTTAAAATTGTTCTCCAAACATCCTCATCACCTAACACCTATTGCATATCCTTTAAGTCTTTGAAAAATATTGTGCCAGAACACCACTGGTCTTCTCTCTGGATTCTATTTAGGTATGTGAAAATTGGGGTTTACACAGGCTTAATTCATAGCAAAAAGGATCTTGTTTTGGACAGCAAGAAGAACTTAATAACTGGTAGGCACAGTTAAGCACTGGCATGGACTGCCAAGGGAGGTGCAGAGTCTCTGCTGCTGGAGGTTTTCAACAAGAGGTTGGACAAATATATATCAGGAATAGTTCAGGCATGTGCTCCTGCCTTGAGGCACGTATGCAATATAGATGATCTCAGAGCCCTTTTCAGCTAGGTATTTTTATGATTCAGTGCTCCTGTACTTTGCAGGTGAAACTCTCTGAATGCTTGAATTGCATTGTTATGGGTAGAACTGTTCCTTCCCCTAAAGGCTGTGCCTTCGTTTTGGAGACAGTGAATGATACTGATACCCATCCCCTCCCACTCTGTGGAAGAGAAGGAGGTTTATCAGCCTCCAGGCAGTCTGTCAGTAGGCTATTCTCGTCAGCCATAAGTTTAGTGTACCTCTTCACCCCTGCTCATGATCTATTTAGGTGGGCATTTTTCTTCTCAGAGTTGAACCTTACATAATACAAAAAGAAGCAGCCTTTGCTGAACTGCATGTAATACAATAACATTCAAAACACATCTGGATCTCATTCACATCTCAGAGACGAAAAGAGAAAAGCCCTTTCTCCTGGCATCAAGCATTAGATGTTATTTTTTTTGTTGCATCCTTGTTATTTCATCAAAGTTGGGATTGTACAGGAATACCTGTGGTCTTTGTCCCTGTGATACATATGCATCATTTCCTGCCTACAGACTAAATAACACTTAGAAAGGACCACGCAAGATAAAAAGGAGGATCATAACTTGTGAAGAAACTGTTTTGCTCTGCTTCGGATTTTCCGAATATCATCAATCCTTTGTTTTGAATACATTTTTTTTCTGTTAAGGGAAGAAGAAATATACTACAAGCCAGCCTTGTGTTACAGCTTCTTTACCTTTGTCTGCCTAACTCAGCTGGTATTTAATTGGTCAGCAATAGGAGGGAAGTCTCCTTTGAGGTAATGAATATTGACTGTTTATGTTGAAATGTCACTGTGAAAAGAAAGCCCAGCACCAAAGAGGCGGAACTCAGTGTGAGAGTTTCAGACACAAAGGAGACACCAGCAAAGCACAGGCATTGAAAAGCAAAGCAGCTGAAATTCAAAGAAAAGATGAAACAGAAATGGGCTACATGTGTGGGAATTTTAAGCTGTCAGTTGACAGGTGAAAAAGTCATTACTCCACCTGTTAGAACTAAGTGTAATTGCTTGTTTTTCCTAAAATAACACAGAGGCCGTGACTCATAAATTTGTTAATTGAAAATTCATTTAAACTTATGTGCAAATACTTTACTTTTTCTTTGAAGGTAAGTGGATTAAACTCATTAGCCAATTTCTCTACCTCAGACATGCGAGAAAGAAGGTACTACATTTTCTGCGTTGTATCGGGTATTAGATAATCAAATCTTACATTCAACCACCTTCTTTTTCATAAGGCAGCGTGAATAGCAACTTTAGAGTTTGACATGCAAGTTTATCACCCGTTCTATAGCACTCATTGATTTAGAATGAATAAAGGCTGTTCTTAGCATCAGTCCACTGCATGATGTATGGCCTGGAAGTTTTCGCTGTTGCATAAAAGCTGTTCTTTGTTTCCAGCTGTGTAATAAGGAACTACAGTGCTTCTGTGAGGTTCTGATATATTTTAAGCCATTTCTTATCTAGATGGCATGGAGAAGCCAACCACCAGATTTTTGGGCTCTGTAACTGAGTTTTGATTCTTGAACCCACTGTTCTTTTGCCTCCGTCATTTTTTGTGGTGACCTCTAAGGAACTCTGCTGAATAGTTTTTGCAAAGTTGACCCAGTGCTATGGTGAACAACACCCAGTTGTTCCATTTTGTTCATCTGAGTCCTTTAGTAGAAAGATTTGATACACAAAGAATTTTTTAGTTTTAATGTAAACACTGACTTCATTGTTTTGGGTAAAATTGGCCATGATGCAGTTTAATTTATGTATTTCTGTGTAAGGACCTTCATGGATTTCAGTCAGGGATTGGGCTCATCATCTTTAGTCACAGATACTGTTCTTAAAAACAGCCAGTCTTCTTTCTAGATCCTCTCTTATTTGATTTTACATTCTATATTAGCTAATTCCACTGAGCATCTTCAGGAAAACAAGAGTAAATAAGGAAAAGTTCTTATAAATCAGAGTGTCTTCTAAAAATATGTTTCAAAAAATATTCTGCCTAAAATCTTAAATCAGACTATCTGAAATATACCTTCATACTAAGAACAGAGTTGTTTTCAAGCTGACAGAAAGATTACACGAATGGTGCAAATATTCCTGTGAAAATCTGAGCCTTTATTTTCAAATCTCCATTTTAGTTTTGGCACTTAAAATATTCATGTGGTGTTTTTAAAATGTTCCCTGAATCAGACAAGTGTTTGAATCCAGTAGGCTTTTGTTTTTTTATTTTCTCTTGGTGAATCATTGAACAATTTCTGCATTAGCTTCAGTCTGGGCCCATTCACACAATGTGCCCATCTGAGACATCCTGCAATCCTGGAAACAGTGGACTGCTTTAAATAGAAGAGTATCATCAGGACCTGGACTGTAAACAGAACACTATTAAATGAATTAAAAATGTAAGAAACATCTGCAGAGAGATGAGCTGAATTTTGCTATCACTGCCATTTCTATACAGTCAGCAAAAGCTTGGAAAGTAAGTGCTTTCTTTCCACAACTAGTTAGACTTCTCAATGAGAGGGCTGTCATCTCCCACAAAAGCTGTGATGAGCAGGTAGTTCAGGTGGGCCTACTGTCAGTCATCAAGGTGATCTGAATGTGTTTGGTACTTGGGTAACGGTTTTGGTTTTGTGCCCCCCAACAGAAGCTTCAAACAGCTTTAAGGAGCTTTGTCTATGCCTGAAAGGCAAGCTGCTTTCCACTTGCACTAAAAACCAGCCCTCACATTACTTGAGCTTCCTAGCTGGCTCTTTTTGTGCATTAAAAATATATGTGCATATACTTTGGGAATAACCCAACTCGGTGGCAAACATAAAACATTTTTACCATCTGAGATGCTGTAGCTAAACAAAAATCAGACACATTTTCATTCATTCCCCAGCTTGGAGCAGTAAATGGGCTATACTACACTATACTGTAATAATCCAGTATTTCCTTATTGCTGTTTATTCCTTCTCTTTTTTTAAAAACCACAGCGTGTTCTTACATATTATCTTCTTTTTTAAAAATGTCTGAACTTTTGATGATTAAGGTCCTCAGAATGCTGACTCTCCAGCAAAGGTTTATTTCCCATCTTGCTGTGTTGTTCCCAAACACTTAAGTTTAGACTTGTATTACTTTGTTTTGATTGTGTATCTCTACACAAATAGACGATAACATCTTTAGTCACAATTCTGTGTTATGCTTGAACTCTAACCTGTGACATTCACTTAGCTCGATCTAACAAGCTTTGTGCTCCCTGTCCAGATGAAGAGTGATACTTCTTCATTAGCAAGATCAGTTTCACCTTTAAAAACCCTTTGCTTCCTGTTTGCATTAAGCCAGATTGAGATGTCTTGGGTCATGATGACATTTCAGGAGTATTCAGAAGCAAAAGAGGAAGTCATTACATCTGTGGTTCACCTGCAAAGAAGATGTCATTAAAAGAGGAAGCAAAATGAACCCCTGTCAACTTGTTAGGGCCCAAAAGGTAATTCTGCCATCATATATGGAGCAGAATATGATATAGAATCCTATTATTACTGACACCAGATAACTTGCTGGTGTAAAAGGTTCTCCTTTCCAGAAAAGTTCAGGTGATACTAAATTTATTAATGTGTCAGCTTGAGGAGACGTGATGTCATTTCTGTTGTCTGCAGGGATGAAAACTGGAGGGTCCTTACTCCTGTCAACACACTATCATCTTAATTTCTTTTACTGTGCACCTCGTTGTCATCTGTGGAGGAGAGAGCAGGGGATGAGGGTGAAGTGTCAGGGGAGATGCCTTTTTAAAAAGAACTACTAATATTTGACATTTATCATTTTAACCTGCCTTTTTCCAAAACACAATTATTACATCAACATCTCTGGTGAATGGTTGGCCTGATCCTGCCAGGATCCTCTTTATATGAGTCAAAGCTTTACCTGATTGTGTAAATTTGCAGAATCAGGATTTTGGTCTTTACTAATGTTTCTCAATTCAGAAAATATACAGATTCTTTTCCTTTCTACTTGATATAAAATCCAACAGCTGCATTCCACTCCGGTGTAATCAAAAAGCTGAAATTTTCAGACTATAAAGGTGTATGATACAGTTATGCAGAACTACCAATAGAATCACATCTGGCATTACTAATCTACAGTGGCCAAAGGTCTGAGTTATGTACATTTTTTCAAATAATGTGGCTTTGGTTTCTTTGAAACTGAAACTGGAATGTTCTTGAAAGATGCTGGTCGTAGAAACCAAATAAAAAGTTTTTAACAAATAGATGAACTACTTTTCAGTGGCATTGTGTAAGAATGCTTTCATCCTGAAGCATTTTCTCTACCTTCTGTACCTGGAGATACAGAACAGCTGAAGAAACTAACTGAACATTTTTAATGAGGATGGTATTACTAAAAGGGAACATTTTCCAGGTGAAAAACATTTTCTCTTGCCCATGGAATGGAGTCTAGAGTTTTTGTATGAGCATTGTAGTAACAGCAAATATTTTCTTTCAGTTCCAAGGTGTCACATGCTGAATCTGTGAAACACATTTCAATATGGGTATTATAACAACTCATCTGATACTGATCTTAATGGATTTCTGAACTGCTAATATTTCAGATGTGAACTGCGTGTACTTCAATTGATGATCTGGGCATTCCACAAATTCCAGAACTAGCATGTTTACTGCCCTGTAGTTGATTGATATCTCCTAATGAAGAAAGCACCTGGAAAAATGATAAAGGAAAGTTACTAATTGGTTTAACTTAGGTCAGCCACTTCATATTTTATAAATGAGGAAACTTTTAAGGAATTGCTTCTGGAAGCCATCTGCTAACTAAAAAATGAATGATAATCATCAGGTTCCACATGCCATTTACAGAAAGTATCATCAGAACAAAAAAATACAGCTGCTTGCTTTGAAGAAAAGCAATGTAGGAACTCAGATTCAAAGCTCCTAATAACCACTTATGTGATATAAAGTGTTAATCAGTTTGGTATACGTGAACCTGTCAGCAGTTCTGGATCCCTTCACTATATACCAAAGATACGACTTGTGGTCACATTTAAGAGCTGCCAGTAGAATTTACAATAACAAAATATGATTTATTATTCCTTCCAGGACATCTGATGTTTCTTGTTCCCAATTCTGTTTCCCTCCCCATCATCCTTTTTCCAGCTCAGACTATATCAGGCTAGGAAATGTCCAGGATGTGTGTATTTCTCTTGTATTGTGCATATTTCTGCAAGTCATTAAACCTTTGTTTCTTGTCTTTTCTAACCTTAGTATCTTACCTAAACAACTCTCAAAGAAAAATGAGTCAATCAGGAAAGAGACAGCTCTAGTGCCAAAACAAAAAAAAATACTCATGGAAAACTTACAAAAGGAAAAGCCTTCGCTTCAGGAATGCAGGTACAACTTTGGGCCTTGCTCCTTTGAAGACATATACTGTGATTTAATTTCTTTCTGCTGCTGGTGCAACTCTACTGAATCTGAAGGGCTATACATGTGCATAAAATTAAGCACAATGAAAAATGTGGGAATACTTCAAGCTACAATTTAATATGAAGAATGCTACATGAAATGAGTAGTATGAGGTTCTACTCCATTTGTAATTTCAAAATAAAGACCTGTAGAAAATCTCTATACTGTTTTGTTAAAGTAAATGCAAGAAACCACAGCTTTCTATAATAAGGGCCCATACTGTTTACCATGTTGGTGTGGCAGTCTTGAGAAAATTAGATTTCCTTCACCACAAAGACATACTTTCTTCCTGTGTTGGTAGTATTTTGCTTGGTTGTATTATGTGTTGCAGGCACGTAATGGTCTAGATCATTTAGAACAACTCAGTTTAAGCAACGCTGGGTGTTTTGTCAGGGTGACAAAGGGTAATTGCATTGCACCCATATATGGCAGACAATGCATGGACAACATGTAATATTCTCTGTGGGTAAAGTTCACTTCTGGGCAGAAAGCCAACAAAAGGCTCATGCACCACTCAAGTCCCACTTAAACCCTATTCTGAAGGCTTAATAGTACATAGGTTGTGTTCTGGCCTCTTGCCCAGGAGTGAATTTTACCATGTTAGCATCCCCTCTCTCTGCATGAGAAGGGGGCAAAGAGGCAAAGCTTTTGTGCTGGGCAGTGAACCGATTTCTGGGAGACACCACTGGTCTCCTCTGCTCTAAAGAAAGCAAGATAATTCATAGAGCGATATCTCTACTGGTTTATGGCTAATCTGTCTTCCCTGAGGTAGTGGGAGGTTACACTGTGCCAGTAGTTCTGTCCCACAGAGCCAGGAATCTACCTAATAACTGACACATAGTTGGTATACAAATGCCTTGCTGTGGCTGTCCTGCACTATCAGAGATCTTCAGCTGTCCTTTTCCAAGCTTGGATTAATTTTACCTCTGTGGTGACCACTAAGAATAATAGAAAATTTTATCTTTTTCATTTCAAAGATTTAAGTGATCACTATGGTGGTCTAGCCTATAATCTTAAGGGAAATGATAATGCTTTCTTATAACTCTATGCCTGTAAAGGTGTTTTCCATTTCAAGAGCTCACTATACACAAGAGTGTCCAAATGACCACTCTCCAGCCACACAATAGGATGAGATGATCTATTGCAACAGCATGCTACTCGAAAAATTTTGTCTTCCATCTTAATTTATGTTTAAATGTACAAAGTGTATTAAACTATTCCTAGAAAATAATTGTCATTAGATTACAGTAGTTTGCATTTTGACCTTATATATTGTTCAGTTCTCTGCAAGACTGGGGGCTAAAGATACTATTTACTTGCAGGCAGCTATAAACACAACCCCCAAAGCACAACTCTTCAAGTTAAAGATGAACATGGTCTGTCCATCTTACAGCTTAGGCTTTGTGTATGTTATACCTTTTTCAATTAATGAAAGCTCAACATGCAGAGGTATTATGAAATATGGCTTTCTATGAATGGATTCCCACCCATGCTGATCAACTAGACTGGAAATCTTATTTCCTGATATTTTAAAAGTGCATTTCCTTCCTAATTAGCAAGCAGAACATGGAGCACTGTAAGTATACAGTTCCCTTTCATAATTATTTTATCTTTATTTTTAAAACAGAATACTCTAATCATTTACTTAGAGATCATTTAAAAGACAGGAGCTTATGCCCATTAGAAAGAGAACTCCTCTCTGAAAACTGACTTTGTGTCACCAAAATACTTGCGAGGTTCTAAAAATATTTTGACACATTTTACTTTTCAGTCGGTATAAAGAATTTTTTGGTACATATTCCTATTGTGTCCTCATTTCCAGAATTGTTTTTAATTAAAAAAAAAGACTGTTTTATTACAATGGATGTTTTCAACCCAAAAAATATCCTATTGTGCTTGCTATCAAAACAAACAGGTGCACACAGCAGCGTGCACGGTATGCAGTGCAATTGAGCAAACCATTTATGTAAAGATTTAAGCTCATCTGAACAATGTGAGTTCAAGTGATATGAATTGAAGCCAAGTATTCTGGATGAAGGGCTCAGTTCTGAGGGGCTCTGGATGGCGCCCAGAACCTGTTGATCTTTGTGGGAATTGTGGGAGCTTTGTACCATGTCAGAGATGACAGCCTCTGTCGGGATTAGTTTCTCGGTTTGAAATACCTATGAATTTTTATCAACAGGAGAGCTACTTTTCTATTGAAACACCATGCTCCCTCCTGCCCACATATGAAAAGCTCTTTCTGCTCAGATGTTTGCTGAGGCTTCACAAGATAGGAAGATACTGAAGCAGAAATCTGCTAGAAGTCAAAGTAAAGATGACTAGAAGTTAAATAAAGATATCTGTGAAGTTTCAGGACATATCGATTTCCTATGTGGTTGTCCTTTACGGATGATAAAATTAATTATTTTTATTCCTGGACTGTCAAGGTACTCAGTATTAAATTCTCATGGAGAAAACACAGTTTACAGCAATTGTGCCTTTCCTTCCTGCAGTCTGAGTTGTGAGGTTAGGGAAAACAAAGGGACAATGATAGAGTAAAATTCTTCTTACTAAAAGGTAAAGCAACCTGTCCTTTACTGACAGTGTGTCGTGTGGCTGTCTATGAATATTTCATTACTGCTGGGCTAGGGCCACTGATTCAGATCAGACTCCCAATTAGCACTCTGCACCTAACTGTCTGTTGTTATCTCTTTTTACTCTTCTATGATGTCTTCATTTATCTCAAGTGGATGGTTCCTTTCTGTCTCACCCTTCCTACTCTTCTGCTCCCTTTCATGATATTGTGATGCCTGTAAGTTCTTGTGTCCTCATCCTGCAATGGAAAGAGCTGCTTGCCAGGAATCCTTGGGAACTCTCTGGGGAAGGAGTTCATTGTCTCATTGTCCCACAGACATCCTGATCATAATAGCAGTAAATATTTTCCTAACGTGGTCTGTGGTGTTACTGCTTTTACTGGCCAAATACCCTGATTTCTCAAATTGCTGAGGAACCCCTCCACCAGTTATCCCTTTCTCTCTCCTCTACATGAACAGTTGCTACATGCTGTTCTGGCTCTGATCTAGGTTTTAATCTCTTCTATATAAACCAAAACCTTTATTTGTTCTGAAGAAAGCTATGCACACCCGTAGTACAATTTCTATTAATAATATGAATTTATTCTAAAGCCCAGTTAGAATTAAACTTAGCTAGAGGTATTAAAGATAACAGGAAGGGATTCTATAAGTACATAGCAAATAAAAAACAGACTAGGGAGAATGTAGGCCCCCTCAGGAAACTCTTAGGAGAACTGGCTACACAGGATTTGGAGAAGGCTGAGGTTCTGAATGACTTCTTTGCCTCGGTCTTCACTGGCAAAGGCTCTGACCAAGCCACCCAAGTCTTGGAAAGCAGATGCAGGGACTGTGAGAATGAAGACCTTTCGCCCGCTGTAGGAGAGGAACTGGTTCGAGACCATCTTAAAAATCTGAATGTGCACAAGTCTGTGGGTCCTGATGAGATCCATCCGCGGGTCCTGAAGGAGCTGGCAAATGAAGTTGTGAAGCCGCTGGCCATCATATTTGAGAAATCATGACAGTCAGGTGAAGTTCCTGATGACTGGAAAAAGGGAAATATAACCCCCATTTTCAAGAAGGGGAAAATGGATGACCCGGGGAATTACAGACCAGTCAGTCTCACCTCTGTGCCTGGCAAAATCTTGGAGCAGATTCCCCTGGATGGCATGCTAAGGCACATGAAAATCAACAAGGTGCTTGGTGACAGCCAGCACAGCTTCACTAAGGGGAAATCCTGCCTGACCAATTTGGTGGCCTTCTATGATGGGGCTACAGAACTGATGGACAGGGGTAGAGCAGTTGATGTCATCTACCTGGACTTGTGTAAAGTGTTCGACACTGTCCCACACGGCATCCTTGTCTCTAAATTGGAGAGACATCAATTTGATGGATGGACCACTCGGTGGATAAAGAACTGGCTGGATGGCCGCACACAAAGAGCTGTGGTCAATGGCTCAATGTCCAGTTGGAGACCAGTAATGAGTGGTGTCCCTCAGGGATCAGTGTTGGGACCAGTCTTGTTTAACATCTTCGTAGCTGACATGGACAGTGGGATTGAGTGTGCCCTCAGCAAGTCTGCCGATGACACCAAGCTGTGTGGTTCGGTTGATACCCTGAAGGGAAGGAATGCCATCCAGAGGGACCTCGATGCGCTTGTGAGGTGGGTGGGCTGATGCCAACCTCATGAAGTTTAACCATGTCAAGTGCAAGGTCCTACACCTGGGTCGGAGCAATCCCAGGCACAGCTACAGGTTGGGCAGAGAAGAGATTCAGAGCAGCCCTGAGGAGAAAGACTTGGTTGATGAGAAAATGAACATGAACTATTACTCAGTGTGCGCTTGCAGCCCAGAAAGCCAACCGTATCCTGGGCTGCATCAAAAGGAGCGTGACCAGCAGGTCCAAGGAGGTGATCCTGCCCCTCTACTGTGCTCTTGTGAGACCTCACTTGGAGTATTGTGTGCAGTTCTGGTGTCCTCAACATAAAAAGGACATGGAACTGTTGGAACAAGTCCAGAGAAGGGCCACGAGGATGATCAGGGGACTGGAGCACCTCCTGTATGAAGACAGGCTGAGAAAGTTGGGGCTGTTCAGCCTGGAGAAGAGAAGGCTGCGTGGAGACCTCATAGCAGCCTTCCAGTATCTGAAGGGGGCCTATAGGGATGCTAGGGAGGGACTCTTCATTAGAGACTGTAGTGACAGGACAAGGGGTAACGGGTTCAAACTTAAACAGGGGAAGTTTAGATTGGATATAAGGAGGGAATTCTTTCCTGTTAGGGTGGTGAGGCACTGGAATGGGTTGCCCAGGGAGGTTGTGAATGCTCCATCCCTGGCAGTGTTCAAGACCAGGTTGGACAAGGCCTTGGGTGATATGATTTAGTGTAAGGTGTCCCTCCCTACGGCAGGGGGGTGTGGAACTAGATGATCTTAAGGTCCTTTCCAGCCCTAACTATTCTATGATTCTATTCTGGTCACGTACAGCCCAGAAGATCCCAGATACAGCAAAAGATGACTCTCCCAGGGTCTGGAGGGGTGGGATTCCCCAAAATGAGTTGTGGTATATGGTGATAATAAACAGAGCAACCTGGTCGAGTGGAA